TATATATATATATAAAGTGAATTAAAAAATTCATTAAATATGAAGAAAATTCAATTTTTATAATTTAAGGAAAGTAAATTTTTTTTTTGTAATATTATTCAAGTAAATTCTTCCATCATGTAAAATGAATGCTATATTTCCATTTTCTCATACCAATAAGTAGGAAAAATAGGAATCCTAGCTTTAGTTCATCATTTAAATTGAATTATTTTTCCCTTCCTCTACCTGTGTTCGATTATTTTCTTCCATTATAAAAGCCATAATAGTTTATTATTAGCCATTCACCTTTAATTCAACAGATTACGGCCTTACAGATCTATTCAACTTCTCCTGTTTGTTTGTTCCCGCTTTCTTCCTTAACAAGGTTAAGGAAAATTGTTTTTTTCTTATATTCCTTTCTCGTATTTGTCTTTTTATTATATAGATGTAACGGATGATTATTGAGAAAATGCAGATCATCTATAGAAACATTTTAAGGTGGGATGATATCTTCCAGGTGTTATCATCTTTCTTTGCTTTTTATTAAGCATTTAAATAGAATAAAATGGAAAAATAATTGTAGCTTAATTTATTTCTAGTAACGCTTTAAAACTGATATTTTAATGAATTAGTTAATATTAACCATTCCTTACTGGCATTGAAATGTACGGAGTTGTATGAGAACCACAGAACACTTGTAGTTAGTCGTGGGTTCGCACTTCTCATCAGTGGAGTTTCCTGTGTTTCCTTCACGTTTCTAACACATAAATAGGGCCAATTTCTCATAGAAAGTCCTCACAGGAGGATATTTGACTTACTTACTCCATCAACCTACTTCAATCTAATCTTTGAGAGAGAACAACTTTTATATCAATAAAATAGAATAAACTTGTTATAAATGGAAAAGTAAGGCTTATGAGCCTTATTTTTTTTTAGTAAAATTGAACATCAACAAAGTAGGGCCACGCATGAACTCAACAATCAGTAATTCAGGGGGCTTCAGTGGATTTAAGTTCAGTATTATTGTATTTAGTGGAGGAAAAGGGTTACTTATATGTTGTAATTTGAGCAATAACTAGGACCAGATTAGCGTATAAGCTAAACAAGCTGAAGTTTAGGGCCTTACATTATAAGTCTATAGGGCCTCCCATTTTTACACGTATCATTATTTGAAGGAGCGAAAAAGCCTATTATATGTTACAGTTTAGGGCCAGAAATCTAATTAGAATAATATGGCTAAATTTACTAAAGTATTTACAAATTTTCGGATCAGATAATATCTAAAATAAATCCCCAAGTCATTCATGGGGCCCCATGCAATAAATTCTCACCTTCAACACACGTATTATTGCGTATAAAATATCCAACGTTGCACCATCTCTACATAAAAAGGGATGAAGTTCCAACATTAGTTACATAAAATTAAGCGTGACGTAAATCGATAATGTGAAAATAAATATTTTAAGTACAAAATGTGATTGTGAATAGCCTTCGTACCAGTTATCTTAGTTTAAAAAATATATATTTATTCAAAGATCTCGAGAGGTCTTTCAATCTTTTCAACTGATAGTTATCACTATTTAAAAATATTTAATCTTACTTTTCAACAGATAACTAAAGCAGGAGATAAATTAAATGCCTCTAATGGCTCGAATCAATTCATGTTTTTCACAGAATTCATTTTATTTCATTTACAATAACGAAATATTCACTTAAGATAGATCTAACCTCCCAACAACGACCACTCCAAGCTCCGAAAAACGACCTTTTATTATGTTGTTTAGTGGCCGTTGTTTGGAGGTTTTACTGTAATATATTACATCAAGAACGAAAGTGAAAGATTAAATATAGAATTTTCTATTTTTATATATATTTTGCTTAATTTTCGTCGATAAAAATCACTAAATCATCTTGCGATGTTATCAATTGAGAAATTCTAACGTCGTCATTCTCTATAATTTATACATTATTGAATGATTACTGTTTTATTGATTTATATTACTGTATATTTTTAGCAT